CCCAACCCGGGAACATTCGATGTGGAGGAGGAAGCCCAGCCAGCCCCCACCCCTCCGCACATGGCTCAGAGCTGGCACTCCAGCACCAGGCAGCCCTCGTGGGCTCTGCCAGCATGGGCAGGAGTCACAGGAGCTCCCACACCCCAGCCCCAGCCTGGCAGAGCTTCCTGGATTCAAGGGCACAGGGGACCAGCCCTCTTTTTGCTCCGAGTCTTTTTCTTGCTCTGAGTAGATCATGTACCTAAACCTCCCACCGGGCCCTTCTCAGTGGGTAAAGGTAAAATGTGCTGGCGTTCCAGGCCCACGCAGGCTGGCAGCGGGGCAATCATGTTGATGAATCACGCTGGCACTGCAGGCGCCCAGTCCTTGTCGAGAGCGTCACTAATGAATTAGCTTCACCCCCAGCACGGGGCCTCTCAGCCTGTCCTTGCTCCCCAGGAAGGCAGGAAACTGAGACCTGGGAAGGGGGAGCAGGGAGGGCGGGAGAGGGGCTCAGACCCTGGCTGTCCCCTCTGCACGCGTGCACGTGCGCACACGCACACACACACACACACACGGCCTCTCTATGCCTAATCACAAGCTATAACTGCCCTGCCCACCTCCAAATCTGTGGGGGTTTTTTTTAAATAAATTTTTGAAACGCAGAAAAAGTACAAAGCTCTCTGTGATAAACACGCCTGTGCCCAGTATCCAGCATTGACAATTGTTCACATTTTGTCACACTTGCTATACATCTATTTTCTTTCATATAAAGAGAAGAAAAGCAGTATATGTAACCCAGAAGTCTCCCTCCCGTGTTCCCACCCACGGGCACCCCTTCCCCACCAGGCTGACCCTGCCAAGGCCCCCTCTCTGGGGCCAGAACCCCTATGGCTGCTGAGACTAGAATAAGATCACGGAGTGTAGGTATCGTGGGTTCTTAGAAAGCAAGGATTTGAGCCTATTGAATCCAAACCATGAAACAGTGGAGCAGGGACGGTGCTTAGCTCTGTTAAATGTCTGCAGGAAGTTAGTGATCCTTACCCTAGAAAAATGTGTGGAGGCAGGAACTCACCATTGATGTGCACAATTCCCACGGGCTCATGGTCTCCTGGGCTCTGGTCCAACTCCGTCATTTGGAGAAAAAGGAAATGACGACGTCCTTCATGCCAGGCTCACTCCTCTGGTCTGCACCCCTCCCCAACTTGAGTCCTTGCCTCCACTCAGGTATTCATTCAACAAACATGAAGCCCCTATGTGTATGTCTAGGCACTGGGGATGACTGTGAATGTGAACATTGTAGACAAAAACCCCTGACTTTGGGGGCACCTGGGTGGCTCAGTCAGTTAACATGTCCAACTTCAACTCAAGTCATGATCTCACAGTTGGTGGGATCGAGCCCTGCATCGGGCTGTGAGCTGACAGACCCTCTGTCTCCCTCCCCTGCTCGCTCCCTCTCTCTCTGAAAAATAAACATTTTTTTAAAAATTAAAAAAAAAAAAAAA